CCAAGAATATTTAGGTACACAGATTCCACAAATAGGATTAAAAGTATTTAACTGGAAAATATTATTTTAAAGGCATTCTGGAATTTATTTTCCTCTGTTTAAAGATAGGCGGCTGTACTGTCTTTGCTATAGTTCGATGTATCTTAATAACAAGTGTTTTTTTTGAAAATATACTTTATTGTCTAGGTCTTCATGTCCTATGTTTTTATCATAATTCTGAGAAAAATATAACGCGAGTTGGAATAAATCATAAGTAAGCTCATTAAATGCTTTATTGCATTCATTCAAAAATTGCTTGTTCTTATAGTGCGTGACCATTTTATTTGTTACCTCAACATTAGTGCTATTTATTTTCTTAAATGTACGATGGTTTTTCCAGAAATTTGTCCACTTGAGCGCTTATTGGTAATAATCAAGTTTTAACTGGGAGAGTCGATCAGTAGATTCTCGTAGCTACACTCTCAATGATGTAAATATCTATTTGATAATTATTTTAATAAATTTTCCTTAAGTAAAATGTTGAATAATCTCTTCCCACCTCTTAGTTCCTCGAGTTTTGATGGCCATCCTCCTTAAGGTCTAGTTCTCAAGAACGCTTGACTTTTAAACTTATGCTATTAAATTGTTTCATCTTTATTTTACTCCCACAGAGATCCAGCATAAGAAGTTTCAATTACCGACAGCAAAATATGGAATCGCTTGAGGCATCACTCTTCTGTTTCCTATTTCCATATCAAATTTCTACACTACATTACCGAACCGAGTTTAAATTTTACCGATCACCATAAACCCAAGGTCATCGCAAATAACGCACTCTTGATACGAACCCTCCTTGATTTTTTACGGGAACCTCTAAAACAAAGTTTTCTACCCCCTTTCTGAAACTAGCAACTTCTGGGCATTTATGCAAATGCATGCGGATTTTCACACGGGATTTCGTACGGATGTCAAATTGCGGCTTAAGCGAGTTGCTATTTTGCAACAGACGTTGTATTTCAAGTATCATTAGTTAGGAGGGCAGTTAACTTACCTACACTAAAGCTTGGAAATTATCTCGAGAATACGATCTAAAATGTGTATGGGATGAATTCGAACCCACATACAAATAGCGCATTTATAGCAATAACTAATCAGATGGAAGAAGCTAGCTTTAAACTTCTTGTCCTGGATTCTGAGTGTGGCTTTACTGCAGTAAGGAAAGTAAATCGGAGGCTTTTCCTGAAAATACTAGTTCGATTCAGGGAATAGACAAGTGTTACGGTTTCTATCTCAATCTTTTGCGTAGTTGGAGAAAGGCAAGCGGGTAAATCGACATGTGGCACAGCTGCTCTCCTACCTCCAGGTCGAGTAGACCGTTTGACAGGTCAAGCAGGAGGAGCAGCCTCGGAGATTTCCAGGGCTCGCAATGCAGCTTTGGAGCGAGGCGAAAAACTCAGCCATTTAGATGCACAGACCCAAGAAATGATGGAACAATCAAAGAACCTAAGCAAGACCGCGGCTATGCTGGCGGCAAAATATGAGAAGCATGACAAATGGTGGGGTGTTTGGCCGCGGTGATGTGATTTCGTTTCCTTTTCCTTCTTACAAACAGCCAGATCGATAGACAGCTTCTTCTGCCATCTACCCCGCTCACAGATTTATTGTTGTTGTGTGCTGCTCTTCTCTTATCTGCTGCAATGACTCAAGCCATATGTGATATGTATGTTACCGCAATTCTTAATGTCCGTTTGGTGATGGAAACAAGTACCTCTCTCTTCTATGCAGCAAGGCTACTTCTCCAGATTTCTTTCCAATTCCCCAGATATTATACATGTACACATATATGCGCATATGTATGAACATTCACTTTGTTGTTATTAGTACTGTTATTATTAATGCCGGCATATTGATGCATTCCCTTTTCCTTCTACCTTCCTCTTCCTTTATATCTCGCCCACAATACATATATCTTTCCATCTTCTACAACTGTTTACGCGAGTTCGCTGATCATAGTTATACTGCTGAGCCTTCGTTGGCGTCACTCATTAGGGTTGCTGATGGTGTTTTCGAGAAAATTGTTGCTTTTCAACCAAAGCAATTTTACAGGGCAAATTTAAGTTTTTCTCCTAAATGACAACCTAAGGTATTGTATTTATTTTACACTGAAGAAGAATCAGGTGCATAAATTAGATTTGAAGGTGTAGGTGGGGCAATTTCACCAGAGTCGCCCATGAAGTGAATCGAGGAAAGTCAGTGGTTTATGGGACAGATCTAATTCGACAGTTTGACTAGTAAATGCGTTTACTTAATCGCACATATTGACATTGTGTAAGTATTTTTGAAATAATTCATACTTTAGAATAATTTTCCAATTTTTTCTGTTTTCCTAGATTTCAATGGACTTTTCAAAATGTATCAGCATTCGAGGAACATCTTTTAGACATTAACAGCGCGAAGAGGGAACAATTGAAGTTCACACTTCGTAAATCACCGCTAGGTTGATTAGCAAGACTCCTCAAAATTGCGGTTATCCTTGGCACGTGTTAAAAATAAAGAACAATCTCCTCCACTGGGGAAGATATAGGCGCCCTTGATCACTATTCTAGTACTTAAAAACTTAAAGCTTTGTGCTAGTTCCTTAAATATTATTCACTTCAAAATTAAATGCTGTTTTCTGCGTGAGAAAGTGCAGAGTGGAAATAATCTTGCTTTTGACGGTCATCACTGATGTTTGCCGATGATGTCTAGTGGGTCTGAACAGGTATTTTGTCTGATCATTGGCAT